AGCCTCCCAAAGTGCTGGATTTACAGGCGTGAGCCACTGTGCCCCGCCTATCTCAGTTATTTCTTTCATAAGAGTCTAAAGGCCATCCAAACAGAACAAGGAGAAAAACAGTATGCCAATAATTTCTTTCATAAGAGTCTAATGGCCATCCAAATAAAACAGGGAGAAAAACAAAAAAATAGGCTGAGGCACGAGAATCACTTCAGCCTGGGAGGTGGAGGTTACAGTGAGCTGAGATCATGCCACTGCACTCTAGCCGGGGCAACAGCAAGATCAGACCCTTTCTCTAAATAAATACATATGTACATGCATACATATATTTTTTTGCTGATTTCTTTAGTATATTTTCAATGTTCTAATTCCTTCCATATTTTAGGGAAGCGCATTTTTAAGAGGCAATAGGGAAGGTCTTTTTCTACAACCTTAGATAACAGGCGCTGAAAAACAATTACACAAATACAGGTTGAGCATCATGATCTGAAAACTCAAAATTCAGAATGCTTCAAAACCTCAAAAATTTTGAGCACCAATAGGATGCTCAAAAGAAATGTTCTTTGGAGCATTTCAGATTTTGGATTTTCAGATTAGGGATGCTAAACCAGGTAGTATATACAAATATTCCATAATCTGAATGGATTTGAAATCCAAAACACTTCTGTTCCCAAGTATTTTGAATAAGGTGTACTCAACTTGTAAAATGTTCATTTGAGGCTGGGCACAGTGGGTCATGCCTGTAATCCCAGCACTTTGGGAGGCCGAGGTAGGCAGATCATCTCTGAGGCCAGGCGTTTGAGACCAGCCTGGCCAACAGGGTGAAACCCACTCTCTAAACAAGTTAGCTGGGTGTGGTGGGGTGCATGTGTAGTACCAGCTACTTGGGAGGCTGAGGCACAAGAATCACTTGAGCCTGGGAGGTGGAGGTTACGGTGAGCTGAGATCATGCCACTGCACTCTAGCCTGGACGACAGAGCAAGACCAAACCCTTTCTGTAAATAAAAATAAATAAATAAATAAATAAATATAAAATGTTTATTTGAGAGATGGTCGAAAATACTTATTATCAATTTTTTTTTTTTTTTTTTGTAGGGACAGGGTCTCGCTATAGACCTGTAGAGACAGGTCTTGCTCAGTCTCCTGGCTTCAAGTGATCCTTCAGTATTTAGTAGGTCCAGGGCTGCCTTTAGTCTAAGACTGTTTTGCCCCACCATTGAAGTAAAACGTTTTTTAGTACTGGAATCAGGTTTTCCTGACATTATTGTTCTGCGGGGGATTTCCAGTCTGCTGTTGGGAATAGGCACTATTCTCCGCCCTGTGTGAATACTGGGCACTGTCCCCTCCAGTCCCTGCAGGTAGCTCTTAGCCCTGCCTCAGTTGGTTTCTTACACACACACTCTCTTCACATCTCCAGGCCTCTCTTATTGCAGTGCTCTCCTCTCTGGTATTCTTCCCTGCAAACTCTAGCTGCCTGGGTATGTCTGGTCTCTTGGTGCCTTCCCTCAACTCAGGGAGACTGCCAACCTCTGCCTCAGTTCCCCTACCCCAAGGCATGATTCGGAAACTTTCTCCAGGCAGTCAGTTGGAATAATCACAGAACTCATCTCATTTGTTTCCTGCTTTCAGAGATCACCATTCTTCCCTGCCTAATGTCTTAATGTCTTGAGTGCCATCAATTCACATATATATACTTTTTGTTCTATAGCTTTTCAGGTAGGAGATTAAATTCTGTCCTTTTTACTGCATCTTGACTTAAGTTAGAAATCTTGATACATTTTGCCTCAAAATTGGTTCAAAATTTAATATTAAGTTAAAAAGTTGATGAATATTCAAAATATGATTCCACTAGTGCTTTTAAAAGGCACATAAGCTGGACGTGGTGGCTCACGCCTGTATTGGGAGGCCGAGGCAGGCGGATCACCTGAGGTCAGGAGTTTGAAACCAGCCTGGCCAACATGGCGAAAACCTGTCTCTACTAAAAATACAAAAATTAGTTGGTTGTGGTGATGGGCAGCTGTAATCCCAGTTTCTTGGGAGGCTGAGACAGGAGAATCGCTTGAACCCGGGAGGTAGAGGTTGCAGTGAGCCAAGATCATGCCATTGCACTCCAGCCTGGGTGACAGAGCGAGACTATATCTCAAAAAAAAAAAGGCACATAAATATACTCATAGTTGTCTGTCATTTCTTCAGTTTGTCCATCTTGCCTAAAATCTTTAACTTCAGAGAGTAGGATGGTATAGACCGGGTAAGGACATGGGACTTTTACATTTTGCATTTGTGCACTTCCTTAGTTGAACACAAAATAAGAAACATAAACACTCATAGACTAAACCTTCTTTAAGTAACTTCTTAGAGATTATCTCTAAGTGACAGTAGAAAGATTTCAGGTTTTAAAAATAACCAGACGCCGGGTGTGGTAGCTCACATCTGTAATCGTAGCACTTTGGGAGGCATGAAAGGCAAGGCATGAAAGCATCCTACTTTTTTCAAGTAATTTAAGTCTCCCAGAGCAAAGCTTAACAATATTTATAGGAATATCAAAATATCTGGCACCCAATGAAAGATTATTAAGTGGACAGAGAAACAGGAAAAGTACAACCCATGATGAAAAGAAAAGTCAATAAAAAATGACAGAGATGGTAGAATTAATAAATAAGGACATTAAAACATTTATCATGGCTGGGCATGATGGCTCATGCCCATAATCATAGCACTTTGGGAGGCCATGGTGGGACGATTGCTGGATCCCAGGAGTTCTAGACCAGCCTGGGCAACATAGCAAAAGCTTGTCTCTACCAAAAATACAAAAATTA